GGTGCTGGATTTCATCAATACTGTATTGTACATGTAAAGGACAGTTACACTTACCCATATATATTCAGCTCGAAGTCCTTTGACCCTGTCACTGTTCCTCTCAAATGGGACTCTGTAGAGCTGCTTCATGGTGATGCTGTGTTTTCCCAAAATGCGTCTAATGGTGGTGATCCTCACATGGTTTATGTTGTTGAACACTATTCTGTCTGCAAGTATATTCTTGTGGAGACGGATGGCATTGTCTGCCCTCACTAGGTCCACAATGGTGAGTTCCTTCTGTTGTGTGAACAGGTGTTGGCGTCCTCTCCCAAAAGGTCTTCTAGTCATTGATGTGATATACACTATAGTGCTGTAAATACCATCTGAGTGGAGTAGAAGGTAGAGAGGTGAAGACATACCTGCTTTCTAGTCGGAATTTTCTTACAGTATTACAGTATAGATGTAACTGTGAAGCGGCTTATGTAAACGTGGCTGGACTCTCTGCCTAGCCTCCCTCATCGTCAGGCCATGGTTGATTACGTGATCTTACAGTATATCATCAGAGTCCATGCATGGCCTCTTTGACCTTGGCCTCCTCCTCCTGCTCTTCCTCTTGCTCTCCCTCCCTCTATCCATCTTGCAAAGTGGTTGCAATAACCCAATGTGTTTTGTATTTTGAATACATGTGTTTTCCAAATGGCACCCTGAGATTTCATTTTTGAACAAAGTGTCTTATGTATGAAATAGAGTGTAGTATGAAGGACCAAGTGTGTTGCATAAAGGAGTAAGTGTGTTGCAGAATTGCAACTAGAGTGCAAAGCAACGCTTTTGTTTAAAGTATGGGTACATGTGTTTGAGGCATGGTAAAAAAAGCTTCAAGTTGTGTTACTTTAGTCTAAGCATGGGTCTATAGTGTTCAAGCAATGGGCAAAAACTGTAAAACGTTGATGTAGCCTACAGTAGGCCTATAGCCTGTATATTTTTATTCATATTATTAGGTCAATTTATTCGTTTACAGTTTTTTTCAATCGTTAACAAGCGCTTACCCACACTCACACCTACAAAACACAATTGGCCAAATGGATAATTTTCTTCTCAAAAACACATTTTGTTAAATATACACTAACTCTTCATTTCAAAATAGAACACATCTTTCTCTGCACACACTAACTTTACCAAAACACTGGACATCTTACTCAAAATTAAATTATTCTGTCAAAGAATAACACTTGTTTTCACTTCACAAGGTACATGCAGTCAATCAAAGTATACCAGGTTTCAAAATACTGGCTATTGTTAACATTACAAAAACTGCATAGACTTTGATGTTTCAGTTTTTTACAGGTATTTGCATGAAAAATATGTAATCCACCTTTTTTACACTACATTTGTTGGTTGGGAACTGTCCACATGTACAGTATTGTTCATATTCAAAAGCATTCCAGTAAAAAACAATATTTTTTAAAAAGTTTTTTTTCACCTCTCACTGCACCTGCACCTCTCATTGCATCTCTCACTGCATCTCTCACTGCACCTCTCACTGCATCTCTCACTGCATCTCTCACTTCATCTCTCACTGCATCTCTCACTGCACCTCTCACAGCACCTCTCACTGTATCTCTCACTGCATCTGTCACTGGGCCTGCTCTTCTCCCTGGGCCCCTTATTCTTTACTCTTCCTCGTCCAGACGTTACAGTGTTTGTCTTTTTCTGTTTCCAAAAATATTACTCTTTACTGTAATGGCCTCCTTTTACTGTATAAGAGTCAATGTAATAGAAAAAAAATAACCCCCGCCACTGAATCTAATAACATAAACCCAACATAACCCAACATAAATAAGCTGTGGGTCAATTATTGAATTGTTTTGTTTATTATCAGCTGAGATATATTGTTTTTGAACTGATATCCTTGCAGAAGCAGAGGTTTTTATACTGTATCTAAGGTATTGTTTTTGCTATTTTGGGATGGTGTGTGTTACAGTTTTTTTCGATTGCTAAACTACAGTGGAGCACAACTGGCCCAGATAGCAACATTGTTTCGGCCCAGATCCGGCCCACATCTGGCACTTGTGGGATGCGGATCTGGCCCACATGCAGCGTGGAATGACGGCCCTTGGGTGGCCCACTCCTGTTTGCCAGATCTGGGCCCAGGGATTAAAGTTCTCCGTCGCTACGACGGATTTCCGTTAATTGCAGCAAGTCTATGACGGATATCCGTCAATTGCAGGGTTCCCGTCTGTCCTTATGTCTTAAATTAACTTTTCATAATTTTAAGGCCGTAAATAGGCTTTCATTTCGCAAATAGTGTGATAAATGTCTGAATTTTAGTTTGAATAGGTCTTAAATTAAGGAAAGATGATGCGTATTCACCCTGCTGAGGGGGGATGTGATAAAGCCTGGAGTGGAGCGAAAGCACGTTCCTCTCTCCACTCTCAGCATTCTGTAATCACTTTGCTCATGGTCCACTCCGTTTTTCAATTCCCGCTCACGGAAAAACTGCTCCCTGCCTTTTCACTCAATCTTGTCTTGGCTACAGCTCGTTTGCTGCGGTCCCATGATAGAAAACAGAACGCGGGTAAATATTGGTCGTTTCTCAATACCAAGTACGCAAACTTAGGACTTGCGTCCTTGGTAGTTTGGACTTGCCAAGTTCGACTCGGGAGAACAAACTCCCCACGACGAGAGGACGCTGCTAACAGCGCGTTCTTAATCGCGTCACTCAACCACGGAAACGATTCTGAAGAGAAAACGCAAAAGTGGCGTTGCGTCATCTTTTTTTATTCTGCGTTTAGACGAGCGTTTCGTGTGGTAAATCCACGTGCAAATGGAGACGCAAAAGTGTGTGAAATTCAATGTAGTATGCACTTCAGGCGGCTAGGAGTGCATACTACAACAACACCAAGACCACGCGCCTGCGTACAACCTTCACTGTCAAGCAAACTTTTGCGTTACACGGGAGCGCGGCGGTGGAGCGTTTTTAAGATTTCCACTCTGGAGGGTGGTTTCACTTTTTTGCGTTTTTGAGCCTCAAAAACGCCGTCGCCGTGTAAACGAAAGGCACATCCGATAAAATATTTTTACGTTTTATTGTTTTATTGTATTATGCATACACATACAGTGAAGAGAATGCATAGTAATATAATATTTTATATATTTTAGAATATATAAAATTACACAACCATGTCTCTTTTTTGTTAAATGTCAGTTTTAATGATAATATCCCGTTCAAAAGTATAAGTAGCCTAATAGGTAGGCTATAATAAGCTATACAATGAGAAATAAAGCAAACTATTCAGTTAAACATAAGTCAGCTCTCTAATAGGCTACAAAGTTAAAGTTAAATAGCCTACATAATAAAGTTATAACACTTCACTTTGCCCTCAGCCAAAACGATTTGCCATGGCACAAACTATATATTAATATAGTTTAGCATTGTTTGGTCTCATAAGATAAATAAAAACATGCACTGAAAAGTTATGTATGTGGTTGATTATTTGTCAAGATAAGTAATTGTTTTTCATAGATTAAAATAGCTTTTAAATTACGCAAACTGGCAATATTAGATCTGTTTTAAACAGCCTCCCCTTAAAAAGCTATTGGTCTCAACTATTTAAATAAAGTTACAGGAATATGACTTGGCCTAAAAAAAATTTCAGTCAGAAGAATTTTTTTTTTCACTTTAATCCCTGTGGGCCACAAGCAGGCCATAGCAATGCCATTGTCAAATCAATTACCAAAAAAAACAAAAAAACTTTAAAATATTTCAGATAGGCACATGCAGACATCAAGAATTAGCCTATGAATCTCAACAATGGTGACAAAAAAGCTCATTATTTATTCATGATTTATTCATGCAGCAATGCATGATGGGAGCCATGAATGAGGTTTGATTGGTGGCATCCAGAATACACTGAAAAATGCTTTATAATTGCCACCATTATTGAGATTCACAGGCTGATTCATGATGTCTTTTAAAATTAAATTTTAAGAAATTATTTGGACTACATTGTAAAAGTAAGAACATTATGATTTTCAAAGCCAGTGTTGTAACAATAAAGTAAATTTAACTCAAGAATTGAGCTCTACTCAGGTCAAATGATCGTGAAACAATGACAATGTCGAACACCATCATATCACCTTTGCTCTTTGTTCATTTGGCTGTTATAACAAAAGTACAATAGCCGAGCAAATTCTAAAATAAATGACTTAAGGGTCAAGAGCCCAACTAAAGCAAACACTGATCTCCATAATGGTAACCAATTACGATTTTCTCCTTCAGAGATTCTGATGTTACGGTGACTTCAAATGAAACACAGAGTTAAACCTCTGTTAATTCTCAATAAAATCTTCTGTAGAAGTCTGACAGAAATAAAGTCAGTCTGGTTAGTAATAAGTGAAGCTGGTAATGCTGTTTGTGGAGTTGTTTAATCCTCCTCTGCTGAGATCTTCAGATTTAATGTCTTCTTTTGTCTTCAGGTTATTTCATCTAAGACTGTGTCTGTAGTTCTTGTTCTGCTCGTCTCTTTTTCTATTCTCTTCTTTACTTCAGTGATTCTGTTTGTTAACAGGCTTATTAAGGTTGAGATGACTCCATGTTTACAGTTTTTGCCCATTGCTTACACACATTTTGCTAAATTTGGCTCATTGTGTCAAAACTCTACACAAAAGCAAATAAGACACAACATTGGAAAATAAACCATTCACATCTATGTCAAATTTAAACTCTACTATCAAAACCTAACAATCCTTTGTCAAAATGTCACTCTGATGACAAAATGATACCCACTTGCATCATATGAATACACTTTCAGATCAGCAGCAACACACTAGTCTACTTTATATAAAAAACTACAGTCTTTTGTTGTCAATGTTTTATTCAATTCCATAGAGGGCATGTTTTCACAGTTACCAAAAAATGAAATAATGAATTCAAAATTATTAAATTAGTATATTTTACAGTACAGTAAATTCAGTTAAATCAAAAATAAAACAAACAACACACTACTATAAACATAGAAAAACACAATTGTGCGCAAGTGGGCTTATGGATCCTGCCGTCTGTTGGGGTCTGGCCACAGGATCTCATCAACATCACAAGCAATGTCTTCTCTTGCTAAGCATCGGGGAAAATATCCCCTTGTGTGCCGAATCCATCCCTGGATTGACCTCACCTCAATGTCTCTGCAGGCCTGCTCCATTGCCTGCAGAAGAGGCATACGGGCATGTGGTTGGCGGTCATATACACGCCATCTCCAAGCGGAAAAAAATTCCTCTATAGGATTTAAAAATGGCGAGTAAGGGGGCAAATACAGAATTTCAAATTGATCATGGTTTGTGAACCAGTCCTGGACCAGAGCAGCCCGATGGAAACTGACATTATCCCAGACAACAACAAACCTGGGCTGCTCTGGTCCATCCTGTACAACTGCATCATGAAGGGCATCTAGAAATGTTATTATGTGTTGTGCATTATAGGGACCCAGTTTGGCATGATGGTGCAGTAGCCCTCGAAGACTTATGGCAGCACACAAAGTGATATTTCCCCCACGCTGCCCTGGGACGTGCAAAATTGCCCTTTGGCCAATGATATTACGTCCCCGTCGTCTGTTTTTGCTAAGGTTGAATCCAGCCTCGTCAATGTAAATACATTCATGCGGCTGGGCAGCCCCATCCATGTCCAAGATTCTCTGTAACAAAAAATACATTTTGTGGACGGCTTTACTCAAAGCACACACTTACACTACTATACAGAACCGAACCGACCCATCCCACCACAAAGATACCGGTGTAGCTTTCTGAATGAATCTATGTGGTACTAATCCAGTGGTATTCATCTGTTACTGTGCACCCATTCTTTATTGTAAATGTAAAGGACTGAAACACTTACCTGCACATATTCATGTCGAAGTTCTTTGACCCTGACACTGTTCCTCTCAAATGGGACCCTGTACAGTTGCTTCATGGTCATGTGGTGCTTTACCAAGATCCGTCTGATAGTTGTAATGCTTACTCGATTTATGTTGTTGAATACTTGTCTATCTGCAAGTATTTGTTGCTGTAGCTGGTGGAGACGGATTGCATTGTTTGCTCTGACTAGGTTCACTATGGCAAGTTCCTGCTGTTGCGTGAACATGCGTTGGCGTCCACCCCCAGCAGGTCGTCTAGTCATTCTGCAGAAAAATGCAACCACAAATTGTTCTCGTTTTCTTCTTTTTTACAGTACTGTGTATACTGAACTTTACTGTATTTACCATATACAGCACTGAAACATCTCAACACGTTACAGTATCATGGTATGTTTCACAAAACTACCACTTTTGTTGAAAAAAAGGAGCTTTAGCACTCTGGAATACAATACATGTGATACAGTAACGTGATATGGTACAGTACTGTAAATACTCTAGATACAGTCTGAGTAGAGTAGAGAGTTGAAGACATACCTGTTTTCCAGTCGGAATGTCCTTATTATGGATGAAACTGTGAAGCGGCTAAGATTAGGATGGACTCTCTGCCCAGCTTCCCTCATAGTCAGGCCATGGTTTATAACATGGTCCACCAAAGTCGCTCTTATGTCATCCGAAATAATGGTCCTTGTGTGGCCTCTTTGACCACGTCCTCGTCCTCTCTCTCTCTGTCCTCCTCTCTCTCTCTGTCCTCCTCTCTCTCTCTGTCCCCCTCTCTCTCTCTGTCCTCCTCTTCCTCTTCCTCTGCCTCTAGCTCTCCCTGCCTCCATGCTTGCAAAGTTCTCAAAACGGCTTAACTGAGGCATTTTTGTAGCTGGCTGATTGGTGTTCATTTTTGTAAGTAAGTGTTTTCAGGTGTGTGTCTATGTCTTTTCAATTAACCAATGTGTGTTGTATTTTGAATAGATGCGTTTTCCCAATGGTACCCTGAGATTTCATTTTTGAACTAAGTGTCTTATGTATGAAATAGTGTGTAGTGTCTAGGAGCAAGTGTGTTCCAGAAAGGAGCAAGTGTGTTACAGAATTGCAACTAAAGTGCAAAGCAGCGCATTTGTTTAAGGTATGGTTACACTTTGTTTAAGGTATAGTAAGAACAACTTCAGGTTATGTTACTTTGGTTTAAGCATGTGTCTATAGTGTTCAAGCAATGGGCAAAAACTGTAATATACACAGATTTTGTGGCTCAGATAAAGTCCAGGTTTATTTCTTTGCTCTTGGCTGACATGTGGCATTGCTATGGCCTGCTTGTGGCCCAGATCTGGCAAACAGGAGTGGGCCACCCAAGGGCCGTCATTCCACGCTGCACACACTTATCCCATGACTTTAACCACAACCTGCACAACACTGTGGATTTACAACACTTTGTTCAAATGCTAACACACTGCTGTCAAAACTGTGAACCACACATTCAAAACAGAATAAATTTCAGCCTTGTGCCTTTCACACACTGCTGATTTTCAAACAATTTTAGCTGAAAGGATGAAAACTTGTGGCCTAATGCTTGAGAGAGGCAGAGTTACAGTATTACAGTATGTACTTCTACCTTTTTTCTCATTACTGTAATACTACAGACTATTGAAGCAAACTGCTAATTTTCAATTGTTATGTTCTAAAAATGTAAATATATCAAATGAAAGGATGTCACTCTTTTCTTTGAAGAAAATATTACTTTGTATGAAGTCTGAAATTGTTGAAACTGTAAAGATGAAAAGTTTCTATTTTCTGCATTGGTGTTTGATGCTAGTGTTTTTCCTCTCAGTGTGTTCTGAGTGACAGTGTGTGTTATCTCAGTGAGGGTTGTGCATAGTGTTGTGCACACTGAGCCTGTTTGGAGCCGTTGTGCTCAGGTGACTGTTCGTAGTGCAGACTGTAGTTAGAGTTCCCATTCAGGGAACTTCGAGCTGCGTGTAAACGCCGTGGGAACGCCTCTGCGTGACGAGTCATGAAGCACGTATGAAATCTGTCCAATGGCGAGACGGAACGTCATAGGCGGGGTGACGTATCGACCAGGAAACTATAAAGCATCCCCGAAACACAAGCGCAACAGCTTCTGAGTCTTCACAAGCGCTCTATGTATGAATTTTGTCTGTCTGTCTAATATTGTATATTTATATATATTGATATGGCGAGCAAACAACAGCAGAATTTCAGAAAAGTGTGTTCATCCCTGCCCTCGCTTCATCACGGGTGGGGATACACACGATCTGTGTGTTGTTTGTTTGGGAGTGCAGTATGCTCAGTCGGCTCTCGAGGGGGCCGGCTGTGAGCACTGCGAGTGTCTGCCCATGAAGACACTTCGCTCCCGCCGGGCACTCTTCGAGGAGAGTGGTTCGGTGCGCGCTCCCCGCGGCTCGGGTCCCGCTGCTGCCGAGGCACAGCGAAGGCTTGCGTCGTGGGGATCGCAGATGGATCTATCAGCGGGGATTGAGACGGGCCCCGCCCTTTCTCTGCCCTTACCTGGTAGATCCAGTGCCTCAGTTCTCGCTGCGGGGGTCCGCGTTGCGGTTTTCCTGCCCGGGCTGAGGCGCCATCACTTCAATTATCCAGTTCTGAGGAGCTGGATGTTGAAAGTGTGGATGCAGAGTCTATGGACTCAGTGGAGAGCGAGGGAAGCTCGTTTGCCATCCCAGTCTCCCGCGAATGTAGTAAAAAAATAAATAAATAAATTAAAGGGAAAAAAAAAAAATGGAGGTTTTTGACTCGGGCTGTGGAAAAATTAACCATTGAATGGCCAGTTGAGAAACAAGAGTCGAGAGAGTAAAATGGATGAGAGATTTTTAATATCACACTCACTACCTCCATGCCGGTGTTTGCCCTTCTTCCCCGATCTACACACCGAGGTGTGTAGATCGTGGAACAAACCAGTGTCAGCTAGAATTTTGACACACCAGACCTCTATGTATGCTAATATTGCTGGGTCTAGGAGATATGAGTGAGGGGGAGGTCGTCGGCACTGACGTGATTAATGAGATACTGCGTCAGGCGGCAGATATTTCTCTCCGTGCCACCAAGGAGACGGCCAGATCAGTCGGCCGCTCTATGGCAGCCCTGGTGGCCACGGAGAGGCATCTGTGGCTAAATCTGGCTAATATGAAGGAGAAAGATAAAGCTTTTCTCCTGGATGCGCCGCTGTCGACCGAAAAAAACAGGCAGCGGCGCTCCAGAAATGTCTCCCCGTCCGTACTCATCCTTCGGGGGCTGCTGGGCGAGAGCAGCCCCGCCCGTCGAGAGAGCATCGCGTCTCGGGCTCCTCCCCAGCAAAACTGGGCTGAGACGCGGCGTTCTCAGGCGAGGTCTTCCCGGGATAGAACCGATCTGAGGACGGTTATTGTCGCCAGGAAGGCTTCGTCGAAGAAGTCCTGACGCCACTGGTGTCAGGCTACTGAGGGTGGTCCCCACCGTGAGACAGAGGTGTTCGCCGCTGAATCCGGCGCCCGCTCTCTCTCGGTGCCCTCAGGGGTTCGTTCTGCCAACCCTGCCTGTAATGGGGGGTGCAGACGGTCCCAGCGAGCGATTTCCCGAGGGACGCTCGTTTGCTCCGAGGAGCGATACAGAACGGTCGTTAAACCCTGCCCGTGCGCGGTCACAGGGCGCTGTTTCTGTTTTTAAAAACTACTCCAGAGGCCAGTCTCGAGAGACTGGTACCCTTAGTAGAATTTCTGGTAGAATGGGGAAGTCTTCCAAATATATCTCGTTGGGTCCTGCAGACTATCGAACGCGGGTACGCGATCCAGTTCAGGTCGCGTCCACCTCGTTTCCGGGGGGTTTTGCCCACAGTGGTGACCCCCGAGCAGGCTCTGGTTATGGAACAAGAAGTGAAAGCTCTGCTACTGAAGGGGGCGATAGAACGAGTTCTTCCTCCCGACAGAGAGCTGGGGTATTACAGCCGGTACTTCATTGTTCCAAAGAAGGATGGGCGGCTGCGTCCGATTTTAGACCTGCGCCTCTTAAATCGGTCAGTAGGGAAGCTCAAGTTCTAAATGCTGACTCTCAAGCAGATCGTGTCACAGATCAGGTCCGAGGACTGGTTTGTCACGATAGACCTAAAAAAAGACGCGTACTTCCATATCTCCATCCTTCCGCAACATCGGAAGTTCCTGAGGTTCGCTTTTTGGGGCGAAGCGTACCAATATCGGGTCCTTCCATTCGGCCTAGCGTTATCTCCTCGAACCTTCACGAAATGCATGGACGCGGCCTTGGCCCGCTGCGTCTCCAGGGCATTCGCATTTTAAATTACATCGACGATTGGTTGATTCTGGCTCAATCAGAGCATCAGGCGATTCGGCATCGAGATGCCGTCCTCGCCCACATCAGAAGGTTGGGGTTGAGACTCAACGCTAAGAAGAGTGTGCTTTCGCCAGTTCAGCGGACCACTTTTCTAGGCGTGGTATGGGATTCGACGACGATGCAGGCACGTCTGTCGCCGGCTTGTATAGCCTCGATTATCTCGACTGTCAAGCAAGTGAAGCTAGGCCAGTCACTCACTGTAAAGGAATTCCAGAGAATTCTGGGTCTGATGGCAGCAGCATCCAACGTGTTACCGTGCGGCCTGCTGTACATGAGACCACTACAGTGGTGGCTCAGGACCAAGGGGTTCTCCCCGAGGGGAAAGCCGCTCCGCAAGATCAAGGTCACGCGACGTGGTCTCCGTGCCCTGGCTATGTGGAAAGAACCTTGGTTCCTGTCCCTGGGACCTGCGCTGGGAGCCCCGTGTCGCCGGGTATCGGTGACGACGGATGCCTCTCTCACGGGCTGGGGAGCGATCATGAGTGGTCGCTCGGCCCGCGGGTTGTGGCAAGACCATCATCTCCGATGGCATATAAATTGTCTAGAGATGATGGCGGTGTTTCAGGCTCTGAAACACTTTCTCCCAGACCTCAGAGATCATCATGTTCTTGTCCGGTCAGACAACATGTCTGTGGTCTCTTACATAAACCACCAGGGGGGTCTGCAGGGACCCGTTCTGCTGAACCTGCCTGTGAGGGTGGGCGCAGACGGTCCTAGCGAGTGGTTTCCCGAGGGAAGCTCGTTTGCTCCGAGGAGCGATACAGAACAGTCGTTAAACCCTGCCTGTGCGCGGTCACAGGGCACTGTTTCTGTCTCTATAATTACTCCAGAGGCCAGTCTCGAGAGACTGGTACCCTTAGTGGAATTTCTGGCAGAATGGGAAAGTCTTCCATATATATCTCGATGGGTCCTGCAGACTATCGAACGCGGGTACGCGATCCAGTTCAGGTCACGTCCGCCTCGTTTTCGGGGGATTTTGCCTACAGTGGTATCCCCCGAGCAGGCTCTGGTCATGGAACAAGAGGTGAAAGCTCTGTTACTGAAGGGGGCGATAGAACGAGTTCTTCCCCCCGACAGAGAGTTGGGGTATTACAGCCGTTACTTCATTGTTCCAAAGAAGCTAACGATATACGCCTCCCTCACGGGCTGGGGGCGATCATGAGTGGTCGCTCAGCCCGGGGTCTGTGGACTTTCTCCCAGACC